AAATAGGCCTCCCCGATCGTCTTGTACGTCTCGCGGCCTCTTACCTGAAGGATCGCACCTTTCGTTTTAGACACGAAGGCACGCTGTCCTCTCTGCGCCCAATCAAAGCTGGTGTCCCTCAGGTACTTGCTCCTCTCTTGTATATCCTGTTCACCAACGACATTCCCATCCCGTCGAAAGGTGTTCAGCTATCCCTCTTCCCAGACGACACTACCCTCTATTGTAAAGGTATCTCACTACCTTTCATACGGCACAAGATCCAAAAGTCAGTTGATGACTTAGGAGCTTGGTTCCAAAAATGGCGCATCGATGTGAACCCGGAGAAGAGCTCCGCCGTTTACTTCGATTATAAACGACGCTGCCTAAAAACACTCCACCAATCCGTATGCTAGGGACCCCTGTCCCCTGGCATACTTCTGCCAAATATTTACGGGGGTAGCCCTTTTCAATTGCTTCTGGGCGCAAAAAAAAGGATTACAGCATCTTAAATGGTACGCACTGGTATTTAACAGTGGTAGCTTTTGCTGTCGCACGGATGGGCCAGCTCGAACCGGGGTGGTACCACGATCTCACAGAATACCAGCGTGAAGTAGAGGTTTACCTCTGCGTTGCGCTTGGTGAGTGCAGGAGGCCGGAGGCCTAATTCCCCCCCCCCCCCCCCTGCGGAGCAATACAACCAAGGCGACCCCTGTCACGCTATCCGTGAATTTTTGCAACATCAGGGGACTTCATTCCAACATTAACGCTGTCCATTACCATCTAGAGACGGCGAAGCCGGCCTTGCTCTTTGTAACCGAGACTCAGGTGTCCTCTCCGGCTGATACTTCATATCTCTCCTACCCGGGGTACAAATTGGAACACTCCTTTGTGCCCCGGGCTGGAGTTTGCGTATACGTCAGAGAGGACATCTGTTTTCGACGCCTCGGCAGTCTTGAAGGTACGGACCTGTCCATCCTATGGCTGCGCGTAGACAGCGACGACCATCCCCGCGTCTACGGGTGCCTCTATAGGTCCCATAGCGGTAATTCCGACACAGACCGACTCATCGACCACGTCCAAATGGCTGCAGACTCCGTGCTACAACAGGTCCCATCCGCAGAGATCGTGATACTCGGTGATTTTAACGCCCACCACGCTGAATGGCTTGGTTCTCGTTTAACCGATCATGCGGGTAGATCTGTCTATGACTTTGCTTTGGCATATGGTCTAACACAACTAGTTACTTCGCGTACGCGGATCCCAGATGTGGAAGACCATGTACCTTCCCTGTTGGACCTTCTGCTGACCTCTCATCCGGACGGATATCAGGTCTCCGTCGATGCCCCTCTGGGCTCTTCGGACCATTGTCTGAATCGGAGTACAGTGCCACTCACGCTCCAATCGCAGTTGCGATCTGCAGCTTGCCGCCGTGTTTGGCACTATAGGTCAGCTGATTGGGACGGGATGCGGTCTTTTTTTGCATCGTACCCTTGGGGGCGGGTTTTCTTCTTGCCGGAAGATCCCAGCGTTGTTGCCGATTCTGTTGCTGATGTGGTGCTTCAGGGTATGGAACTTTTTATTCCATCCTCTGTGGTGCCCATCGGAGGCAGATCCCAGCCATGGTTTGGTCGCTCCTGTAAAATAGCATCACGCTAAAAAAAATCACGCTGTAAAATAGCCAACTCGACTCTAGATGACGGGGGGAACACACCACCGACCATCCCGCGATGTGAGTGCTCCATGCCGGATGTTCGGTTTACACAGCGCTCGGTTCGCAAAGCACTCTTCTCCCTGGACGTCAGCAAGTCGAGTGGGCCCGATGGAGTCCCTCCCATTGTGCTGAAGACGTGTGCTCCGGAGTTGGCACCGGTTTTAACGCGTCTTTTCCGATACTCCTACTTCCCAGGCGTAGTCCCGAATTCATGGAAGACAGCTTTGCTCCACCCGATCCCTAAAAAAGGCGACCGCTCAGACCCGTCCAACTACAGGCCTATTGCCATCACCTCCTTGTTCTCCGAAATAATGGAATCCATTATAAACTGCCAGCTCATGAGGTACCTTGAGGATCACCAGCTGATTAGTGACCGCCAGTACGGTTTTCGTCGAGGTCGATCAGCTGGTGATCTTCTAGTCTATCTGACTCATAGATGGGCGGAGGCAGTAGAGTCCAAGGAGGAGGCATTGGCCGTTAGTTTGGATATAGCGAAGGCCTTCGATCGGGTCTGGCACAAAGCGCTTCTTTCGAAGCTTCCTTCCTATGGGCTTCCCGAGAAATTGTGCAAATGGATCATCCGTTTCCTTGCTGATCGGAGCATCAAGGTCGTAGTAGACGGTGCATGCTCTGATTTCAAGCCTATCAACGCTGGTGTTCCACAAGGCTGCGTGCTATCACCAACGCTGTTTCTCGTGCATATCAATGATATGTTGCTAACTAGTAGCATTCATTGCTATGCAAACGACAGCACTGGTGATGCCTTATATACCGGCCGTGCCAATATTTCTCGGGAAAACGTCGCTGAGTACCGGGACAAACTTGTGTCTGAAGTCGAGTTTTGCTTAACAAAGTCTCGGATTGGGGCCGACTTAATCTAGTCCAGTTCAATCCCCAGAAGACACAAGTTTGCGCGTTTACCGCTAAAAAGAATCCCTTTGTCGTATCTCCTCAGTTTCAAGGCACTCCCCTTGCTGCCTCAGCTAGTATCGGGATCCTTGACGTCGACATATCGAATAGTGTGCAGTTTCGTGGTCACTTGGAAGGGAAGGCCAAATTGGCCTCTAAAAAGCTTGGCGTACTCAGCAGAGCGAGACAGTATTTCATGCCGGCACATCGCTTGCAACTTTACAAAGCGCAAGTTCGGCCCCACATGGAATACTGTTCTCATCTCTGGGCTGGGGCACCCCAGTGCCAGCTCCTTCCACTTGACCGCATCCAGCGCAGAGCGGTTCGAATCGTTGACGACCGAGATCTTTCTGATCGGCTCGATACACTGGCACTGCGTAGAGATGTTGCATCTCTTTGCGTATTTTATCGCATCTATCACGGGGAGTGCTCTGTTCGGACTAATTCCAGCCGCTCAATTTCACCATCGCACATCGCGACAAAACTCTCGTTACCATCCATACCATCTGGATGATTGGCGGTCCACCACTGTGCGATTTAGAAGAAGTTTTCTCCCTCGCACAACTTCCTTGTGGAATCAATTACCACCAGCGAATTTTCCGGACCGATACGACTTAGGAACCTTCAAGAAAAGAGCTTACACCTTTCTAAAAGGCCGGCAACGCATCTGCAATTCCCCTGGTGTTGCGGTTGTTCATGGGTGGCGGTAGCCACTTACCAACAGGTGAGCCGCATGCTCGTTTGCCCCCTATTCTATAAAAAAAACTCACCTGATTACTCTCCCAATAAACTGCTTTCTGTATACTACGGAGCTTACAATCACTAACATCAACGACCGAGTAAAAGGGCAGCCTTTGAAGATCACGAACCTTACCTATAACCCAGCTACTCATTTGGTTAACTCGTCTCTCAAACATCTCAAATCTATTGACTTAAAGAGATTACATGAAATTCAACATAATCTGATGTATGAACCGATTTTACAAGTAGACCAAGTTTCATCCAAATATCTATACCATACGACCATCCCACTTTACACTATAATGATTGTAAGTATACTGGTACTTACAACCCTTGTTACTTTAAAACGTTACGGACTATTGCAGTCCACTAGAAAAGCGTCGCAATCCCCATCCAAAGAAGACATCTACGCGAAACCTGGAATCATACAAAATCTGAACCACAAAAGACAGCAATATTTCATCATCTCAAGACTCAGAAATAGTTGTTGTTCTAAGGGGGGAGGTGTTTTATGGATGCCCCCTTACAAAACGGCGGACTACGCGGCAGCCTCATATTCCCACACAACATTTCAACATTGTTTCCAGGAGGCAGTTTTGCTGACTTGATGGGAGACTCACAATGGTGAGTCCACGGCGACCTTCGATGCGTCATTACGCACGCGGTGTGAACCGACATAGCACCTTACCAGAAACTAGGCACTCGCAACGAAAATTCGCTATGTGTGACAAGCTATTCGCTGCGATTAGATTCATTCGCCGCGAGTTGGATTCACTGCGAATTGAATTGAACATGTTCAATTTTACTCTCTGCGAATGAGCACTCGCTGCGAGAATTCGCTGTGTGACAGGGTACTCGCTGCGAGTAGCCATTCCGCTCCAGACTACACAAACTGATACGTGTGTGTAGGTCAATCAAATGGGTTAACCGATAAACAATTCTCTAATATGAGGAAATTACGATATAATTTGTTTTAGGTGCTGTTTGACACAAATAACAGTAATTTAAAAAATCGCAAAGGCCTTCATTGTTTGACTAATTAATTGAGTTGGGATTCGAAATAGCAACCCAAGAGCACTTGAAAAGAAAATTTAAGAATATAAAAGATACATATTATAGATAATTCTCGTGTAGTACTCGCCGTATGTGACAGGCAGGCAGAGAATTTTAAATATTCGACAAGTTTGGCTGAATAAATAAATAATTAAATTTTGTAATTACAATGTTTTATCCAACTCGTTAAAGCGAGAAACCAATTACTTGTATGTTATTTACTCACAAAGTATAGGTTTATTTTCTTTTGTATTGTTCAATAATTAATCGGAAATGTTTTAATAAAATGTCTTTTGCGTTGTTAAGCACGGCATTGGCTGATCAGCAACACGAAGGGCGATACCGATAACGAACATTGCTCTTGATAAATAACCAGTTCGTACATCGCTGATTGTACAACCGAACGTGGTTTGTGCTCCTTGTCTAGGTAAATATACTTAAAATCTAAAAATCTTCAATGCATTCAAGTTATTGTAAAATTAATTTAAGAAGACTATATTTATTTAAATGATTTTGCTGCATTCACAAAATAAATTATCTAATTTGAAATTTAAATGACTGGTTTGTATTACTTTTTCTTAATTTTCAGTAACTTTCAGAGACACCGATGATTCGAGAACTTAGTCCAGAGTTGGCTAAAGTTGCCAAAAATGAATTAAATGAGAATCCCAAACAAACGCCTGACGATATCAAATATTTAAAGGAATGGATTTCTAAGCAGCCCCATCTGAAAGCTAGAACAGGTATTTTTTATATTTATATGCATTGGGTATAATTTTATATTTATGGCCTTTATTCGTTTAGTAAATAACAAGAAAAACTATTTAAAATATTTTATTATTACCGTAATAAACTATACGGTAATGTTGACTCAAAAACAAGGTTTCGATCATTTTGCTCGCGATAAAAACAAAATGTTATTGTATATGCGGTAAAAATTTTAATACACAAATAATGGCTTTATTTATTAATTAACAAATTCGTCTGTTACTTTTAACGTTATAGGTACTAATGAACTGTAATATGAAATATACGTGGGCATAGAATAAATAATAGTACACGTGGGTTACACAAACATATAATTTTTAACATTTAAAGATACTTTTATATGATTAAAAATGACTCAGATTATCACAAAAAGAAATAGAAATTATATATTAGGCGATCTAACTTTTTACGTAACTGAACACAGCTTGGTCAGTTTATAATACTGTTACAAAAGTTTATCTACAATGTTTTTATTTATCTACAATGTTTTGTCAGTCGTAGACAAAATATGATACTTTGTCCGAGGTGTTTGTAATAGACACGTCTATCAAAATGCAGTGAAATTCTCATTATGACATTAATTTTATTTTTATAAAGTTGAATAACATTATGTATAATGATGATGATGTGTTTTCAGATGACCAATGGCTGGTGGCGATGTTGAGAGGTTGCAAGTTTAGCTTGGAGCGAGTGAAAACGAAGTTAGACCTGTTCTACACCTTACGTACTACTGCACCTGAAGTAACCCTACGTTTAAAGCCTACTGAGGCTGAATTCGTTAATTTTTTAAAATTGGGGTGAGTAATTCAAAATTTTATATGAGGAAGCAATGGAGAGGGCTTAGAGTTTTTCTACGTGATAAACTTAAGAACGAGGATATCCGCAGTAGAACCAGAGTAACCGACATAGCCCAACGGATTAGTAAGCTGGAGTGGGTTAGCCATATAGCTCGAAAAACCAACAGCCGATGGGGAAGAAAGGTTCTCGAGTGATTGCCTCGTACCGGCAGGCGAAGTGTAGGGCCTTCCCCCACTAGATGTAGTTACGATGGAGGTGGCTCCGGACCGTTCTTTGTGGCATTCCTTGGTGGAGGCCTATGTTCATCAGTGGACTTGTGAAGAGCTTTAATCATGATAATGATGATGATGAGGCAACACGTGATCATATGTAGTATGTTTGTAGTCTATTCCTTGCTCGTTTGTAGGTTTGTTCAACGCACAAAGTGAAAAGTGGTTCAGTGAGGCACTGTTTATCGCTTGGGGTAAAATATGTAAATAAATGAATGATACGTAAAAATCTTATAATTTCAAGTGCGTTTCAACGTGAAAATGTAGCCTTCTACTTAAAAAAAAAAACTGAAGTATGAAACGAACTAAAGATTCCCAGGCAGAAAGTAAGTCCTATCACCTAGAAAAGGAGTCCCACCACCAAAACTCGTGAAATATATTTTTTTAGAATCGGATCTATTATTCTGAATTTATCTCTCACGTCCAAAGTCATATACATACTTACAAATTTTACCGCTCACGTTATAATTTAAAGTTACTTTCAACATAAATAAATTTTTAAAGCTAGCTTTTTTACGTGGTAGAGCCATGTTGTAGCTATATTAGTAGTATAGTTGTAGCATGAATGGGTCGACTAGGCCGGGGAAGGACCACGCTCTCACAGAATACCAGCGTAAAATAGCAGCTTAGCACTGCTGTGTTTCGTATGGTAAGTATAGAGAACCGTATACCCTTTTTACTGGAAAAGAGGCATTCTATTTTAGTCCTCACGGCTGACAACGCATCTGCATTTTAAATCGCAAGCGAAGATAGATATACTCCTAGATGTCTATGGGCCACAGCAACCACTTACCATCAGGTGGACTGTATGCTCGTTTGTCACGCTATCCTATTAAAAAAAAGCTATATTGTGTCACAGTACACCAATAAATTAGCCGAGTAGTGCTTTTTGTTTCGATTTTATTCCAAAATTAATATTGTTATTTAAAACTAAAGCCTTATTTTATACATACTCGTGAAATAATTTTTGGATTCCTATCGTTAGTCTTAGAGATTACCTTCTACCTTCTACGTCCAAACTCAGCAACTCACAAATTTAACCTCTTTATAATATCTATTAGTGCAGACTAATGTAGATAGTTATCACTTGCGGATTTCCACAACACAAATAAATTTACATAAATACAAGGACAAACATGAAGACCCGGAACAATTATTTGTAGGCCATACAAATACTTGTTCCGTGCGGGTTTCGAACCCGCGGCCCTTGGTGCTGCAACTTATTGCTAAGTCACTGCGCCACGGAGCCGTCAATCTACATCATATAATAATATCTATTGTAGACTTAGAGTATGCAAATACTCTAAGATTGTAGACGAAAGTCCATAATGATATTAAGGAAAACTGTGCAATGATTGTTACCTATGACTGCCGTTGTATAACTGTCGTTGGTCAAGTAGTCGTAGGTGTGTCTGTTGACCATGGGATTCGTTGTTTGAGTCGGTTCGCGGTTGGTCGGGTCAATAAAATCAGTTATAGAGTACTTTTGTCAAGAAATTCTCAGTAGCAGTTTCGAAAAGCACGTACAGCCGTTGGTCCCGCGCCTGATCTCTCTGCCGTCGTGCAGGATCGCCGTCCCGTCGTACTAAGAGAGTGAGGGAATATAGAGTGCACTTGTGCACTATAGACATATATTTAATTAAAAAAGCACTATGTAGTGATGACTGACAGCAAAAGAACTACCTCTTTACATTTCGTGTGTGTCGTAAGAGACTACAGAGACAAATTATAAAGATGGGCCGTAACATCATCCTGATAACAACGGAAAATAAAAATAAACTGCTACCAACCCGCTCGTAGTGTGACGACTATGACATGATCCTCTGATTATGAAGAAATTTATGGGCGTCGCCTGTGTTCAGCTGGACTTGCTGGAAGTTTGATACATATTTATTATTAATATTTACTTTAAATTGAGTAGGCCGTAATTAATAAATCAATAAATGATTGAAATAGTGGAGTGAGTGAGTGAAAATAAAAAAAAAAATAAGAATTTTTTTCCGACGATATTATTATAACCTTGAATTGTTGACGTTACAGAACATGCATCATATTACCAAAAGCAAAGACTGGCCTGCACCCGCGGGTGATTCTTATCAGAGCGGGACGGTACGACCCCGAAAAAAACAGTGTGGCCGACATGATGTGTATTCTATACTACTTAGTTCAGGTACAAATTTTTATGTTATCCTGATAATTGTTGCGTATTATTTACAAATATTGATGCGTACTTACTGACAAAAAAATCAATAAGCGTTATTAGTTAAAGCTTGTTTGATGACATCATTATAGAGTATGTAAGTCAAGGTAAGTTGCCTCCGACATTTCGCGAAGTAGCCATCTCGTACATAAAAGTTAAAAGTTAAAATTACAGCCTATATACGTCCCACTCCTGGGCACAGGCCTCCCCTCGTTTCTGAGAGGGCTTTAGGTACCAAGGAAATGTCCGCCGCGCTGCCCCAATGCGTGTTGGCGAACTTCACATATCTTCGATTTTTTTTTCTTATTTCTAAGACATGCAGATGTCCTCACGATGGTTTCCTTCACCGTCGAGCACGTGGTATCTCGTACATGACTGGTTTTAATACCCTACTAGTCACTATTAGTCAATGTTGTCAGATATCAAAACTTTAATAATAAAACGTTAAAAAAATTATCAAACGTTAAAAAAAAGATAACTTAATTATGTAAGTTTCTTTTAAGTAAAAGAAAATAAAGTGGCACCTACACTACCTAAATACATAAAAACAAAATTGCGAGGCCTGTGCACAGCAGTGGTTACCACTGCTGTGCACAGGCCTCGCAATTTTGAGAGAGTTTTAGGGATTTAGTGTATCCAACGATCACGATCACACCGCTTCAATGCTTGTTTGTTATGTAGAATACAATTTTTAATAAATTGATTGATTTCAGATTATGGTTATCGAAGACGACGCTGCCTCAGTATTAGGAACAAAAATATTCGTGGATTATAATGGTGTTACTATGAATCATGTGGTGCAGGGCACTCCAAGCTTACTGCGAAAGATAATTGCTGTTACACAAGTTAGTAATTGTTTATCCAAAAAATGTTTACTGTTGGTGACTCTTTTGGTTCACCCAACCTCAAATTAGAATTTTATTTGTTTGTGTTTAGTGTAATTTTTTCTAATTGTTAAAAAATTATTACTGTACATTTACGCAAGGAGGGAGGGTAGAGGGGCTTCCCCAGAACCTTAACGCCTTTTTTTTCAATCAGTTATCTAAGAACACGTGGGTTTTTAAAACGAATACCTTAACTTTCGAAATCCGTCCAGCCGTTTGGAAAATAGGAGGTATTAAAGAAATTTACAAACAAATATACAAGATACGCGCGAAAAAAATAACCCTTCCTAGGCAGTTGGGTAAAAAATTAAATGGGCTAAGTATTTTTATTAGATTAAATTTGAATTTAATATTTTCTTACAATTTTACAATAATGTTTGAGAACTTTTGATGTAAGAAAACTTTTCCACGCCTACTTAGGGTATCCCTAAAGATTTTTTATTTTATGTAGATTCTTATGTTTTATAATAATATGCCCTTTCCTTAGTTAAAACACAACACTATTTTGATGATTTTGATACATTTACTGCAAGCAAGTGTGATTATATAAACCTCTTTCTTAAAAATGGAACAGGCCTTTAACCCTACTGGTCGTCTATTTACTTTTCACTTGTATTTTATTTATTTTTAGGACTCGCTACCCCTTCGACTAAAAGGCAGTCATCATTTGAATGTACCATCGGGAATAGAGGTCATTTTTAAACTTATTTCCACGGTTGTTAACGAAAAAGCGAAACAGAGAGTAAGTTAACCGTTTTTTTTTTGTTAACAATTATAAGCCACTTCTTGAGTATTATCTCACCTGATTGTAAATGAATATGTAGCCGGCAATCGCAAAGTTCACTGGGTTAGGAGGTTATCAAGACACCTGTTTATTCACTCTTGCCTTAGAGATATGCCCTTTATGATCAGAATGAAAGACAGACGCTGGTGAATTATTTCACTAACTTACTTACGTCAAAAACAAAGCGACGGAGAGTGGTTGAGTTTTTGAGATTTTCCGATGGTGAAATTGAAAGGGAGGAATTAAGTTTTGTAACGTCTGCACACGCTTTCCAAAATGTTATAGGTGTGCGCACACGGTAATTATGGAGAGATGGAAGTCTATATATATTCAAACCGCTAATATATTATATTAAATGCCGTGAAGTGGCTGCAAAAGAAATCCACTGTATTATATGTAATCCACGGGAAATAAAACAGAAAAGCATCAGCTCAGCGACAGATCTTCCCCATATCGACACAAGATAGTAAAAATCTGCGATTGCCGACCAGCCTGCCAAGCGTGGCAACTATGGTATATATCCCCCCTATGAAGAAATCGATGAAGGAGGCATATGTACTGTAATGGTTGGATAGGCGCTGTAATTTTTTTTTATAGGATAGGGTGACAAACGAGCACACAGTCCACCTGATAGTAAGTGGTTACTGTGGCCCATAGACATCTACATACATCCTCGCCTGCGAATCAAAATGCATATACGTTGTCACCCGTAAGGACTAAGATGGAATGCTTCTTTTCCAGTAAAAAGGGTCTCCGGTTCTCTACACTCACCATACGAAACACATCAGTGTTAAGCTGCTATTTTACGCTGGTATTCTGTGAGAGCGTGGTCCTTCTCCGGTCGAGCCGACCCATTCGTGCTACAACTATAGGTACTACTGATATAGCTGCAGCATGGGTCTACCACGTATAATGGTTGGATAGGTGCTGTAATATTTGGATATAATATTTAAACATAATTCTACTGTAATGTAAATATGGAATTTACAAAAATAAGTAATAACAATTTAATTTATTATATTTTATCTAGCTTAAGGTACATAAAAGTGTTGATGAATTATTCGAAATAATCCCGAAAGATGTAATACCTATTGAGTACGGTGGAACCGGTGGTACAGTCACTGAAATTATTGGTAAGTAGTTTTTTTTAATCACTTCACTAATCGATGAAAAGTTCACATCTATAAATAAATTTCTCTCATATCCAAGGAAGGATTTACCGCAATCGCCTTGTATGGGAGTCATGTATGTTATGTACCAAACGGTGAAATTCGTACATCACAACCTATAACAGTCTACTGGTGAACGTAGGTCTACCCCATAGATTGCCTTATCGTAGAGGAGATTTTGTTATAGTTGTGACGCTTGGCACGCGGCCGCTGATTTTTATTATTTAGTTGTATTACCTTAATATTTTTTTGGACTCACGTATGAAGTCTGCCACAAGCACTGGAGCAGTACGATAGACTCACTGTTTTACTCCTCAGAATTTCGAGAAGGCCTGTGCCCAGCAGTGGGGCGTATGTAGACAAGCTTTAGTGTAATTACCTTTATCACATTTGCAGAGTATTGGGTTAGAAAGATTACTGAGTATAAGTCCTGGATGGAGGCCGAGCAGGAACTTGGAACAGATGAGTCTAAGCGACCCGGTAAACGACTTACTTCTGATGAAATTGGAGATCAAGGTTCTTTTAGGCAACTGGATATAGATTGATACATGCACATAGATTATTAATCTAGTCTTTCTAATTTTTATTTATTTATTTGCGTTTTAAGGGAAACATACAGTACAATAAATAATTACATTATAAAACATAGAAAAGTAATCCTAAAACCAATGAAGTTTTCACATATATTGTCAAAACCTGCCACCACAATATGTTATATAAAAATTAAAAATATAAATATATGAGAGAAGAAAAATAACTTAATGGAATTTGTAATTAAACATTTAGTACATAAGCAGTTAAAAGTAATATTATACATACAACCTAAAGCGAAACTACCAATTATAAATTAAGTTTAACAATATTTTTGTAACTATTATGTATAAGGTGAAAGATATCTAATTCACATTATTTTAAGTTAGATTTTTACATGTACGAGATATAAAAACTCTTGATACAAAATTACAAAGATCTTGGTGTAGAAATGAATATTTTATTAGCAAATAAACAATAAATAATTATAAATGTCTCTAGAATTTTTAATAACCTGAAACTATCTTTATACTACGTAATGAAAATAAAATATTTCAAAATAGGTATGTAATGTTTTATTTAAATATTGGAAAGTTATAATTAACGAGAATCATGGCGAAAACTTTCCAGTAAAATGTGAATTTATTTATTGCGTAGGATATACGAGTACAGAAAACTTTGGAGTAAGCTCAGTAGCAAATCGCTTTTCGCAAATCCACACGTCATCATAATTAAGAGACGTAACGAAGCGAGCTAAAGTTACCCAAATACACCACGCACTGGGTAGATTTTCCAAACACCGCTGCTGGCCATGAACCTCTTCCGTTATAGAGAGGTTTTGTCTTAGAGGCGGATTAGATGTCTTACACCTTCGACGCTGCTACTCGTCACCGGTCAGAATACTTTACGTTTTGTGTACACATGATGGCTTTTCTGGAATTTCTCATAGTCACCCCTCACGATACACATGAGTCGAAATGGGTTTATGAATTATCCATACTGCACAGTTCTTAAATTATCACAGCTTACCTTATGTTCGCGCTACTTTGCAACTACCGTCCTAACACTTGTGAGATTCGTTAATTGTTATCCAATAAGGGTACTGCAATGTCCATTGCCAGATTTTACCTACCGCCTTTTATGCCCAGCATGTGCACTTGCCTGTTAAACGGGTTTCACCCAAGTTCGCAAGTCACGCAACTGACCGCACCCTTATATCTCGCGTCATCACCGTTCGCCGCTGTGTAATTTAGATATTGAACTATACAAGAAAGAAAATGTATAGACATTTGAAATAACACTATATATCACAAAAATCTGTGAAAGTTATATGTGTGAAAATAGCCGTTATCCAACCAACGTGTAAGCAGACCCTAACACGAGGTAGATCAGCGGAAGTGTAGGTGAGTGTACATGTCTTCTTTCGCGTCCGTTCTGTAGCCCGAAATTGGGGATATTTGCAGTATCGCGAAATAATATATTCTCACCGCCATAGAGTCCATAATCTATATAAAATCATCCCTTTAATAACTCTAAAAATCAGCAGTTGGACATTAAAACCAACACACCAATTTTACCATCATAATAAAAAATTCCCTCCAATATAATATTCTCTACAAAAGCCTCCTCCAGGCTGGGATAGTTAATATTATCCAGCACCTTATAAAATAATACTTGTCAGTCTTTTGGAAGCAGACTTAATTAAGGGCGTGTCTCAAGGATCAATATTGGGACCAATAACTTTTTAGTGTTGAATGTGATATGGGTAAGCTCATTTAACGATGCAAATGATGCTGTATCTATACGAGGTAAAGCTATGCTGCAACTATATTATGGTTGTAAAATAATACGAACGGGTTCGATCAACTGAGGTAGAGCGGAAATATACTACAGCCTTAAATACAGTATAGGCTGACTACTAAGAATAAATTCTTATTAGCTTACTAGCTGTATCCGCGACTTCGTTCGCATAGAATGTTTGTTAGTAACTTATTTGTTTTGAAGTTTTATTTCTTGATACTTTTGATTATATTTTATAAACTACACAACTGTTCGAACTCAAACAGTAACAGTATAATATCAAGTGCATGGACGATTTCACCACCGAGGATGTCTTATCCGTTCAATATTATATTTAAATAAAACTAAGTCTCGTAGATATGCACTAAGATAATATAAAAAATAAACTAAATAAGAGGTTAACAATTACTGTAATTTATAAAACATAGAGTTAATTTTTGAAAATATAAGGTGGGAACGATAATTCCTCTGCCGTGTAGTAACGGCGTAAATTAATCCATAACTAATCTATGTACAGCAGGGTGTAGTTAGAGGCGACAATTGGAAACGCCAGAAAAATCTAATGGCTTTAGATATGTATCGCTACAGCCAAATCGGTTACGTCAGAGCCAGACATAAAATACCCAGACTGGCTACGGAAAGGTGCGAGACGTATTGTATTCCGATCTTCAGTCTGTCTGAGAACCGTGACAATTATAGCAAAACACTCCTACAGTAGGGGAAGTCCATGAATTTTACGGGCTGATGATGAAGGAGAGGAATACATAATTCTTTTGATGTTTTTGCCTCTTTAAGTAATGCGACAAAAGTCCCCTCCAAGCTTTCGTTTTGAGTGAGTTCTTGGGATAAAACACCCACTCACTAATATCATAACTGATGGCAATATCGGTGTCTACTACGTTCTTTTAAGAAAGAACTAATTTAACTCATTAACCATTGTAAAGATTTGGAGGATACACATTAAAAGTGAATAGTAACACCTGTCGGAAAATGTTAAAAGAAACCAAGTGAAAAGCAGTGAAACAAACTAAATCTTCATTACAGCCTTTAAAAGTTCACTGCTTAACATAGAGCTCACTTATAATTATTTAGGGGGTTTTGGCCATAGTTGCCACGTTTGGCTGGTGGGTTGGCAACCGCAGTTTTTATAATTTTGAGTTGACAATAGGAATATGCTGCTACTAATTTCCTGAATCAGTTTCTATCTGTCCCATCTTACGGCACCCACGGAACGATGTCGGGTAGTAGATATTCTTACACCGCCACTAAATCGTTAAGGGGGTCAGCAGACCTCGGAGGAAGCCGGTTAATCAAGCTGGCTAAAATGAGTTAGTTCCTCTCGGGACGATTCCAGCGAGACGCTGCACTAATGAAACTATGAAGCAAATACAAAGAGGTGTTGTAATTAGATTTCACTATGTAACAACGCATGACAATTTGCGGAGTGAGGGGTTGTTAAGCCCCGCCTGCTTTACACTATCTACTTCTACCGATAAGTAGTAAAACTACTCAAATGGTTCCATATCGATGTTGCAATGTAGTTTAGCTACTTTAACGATAAAGCGGCCTGTTCACAAAATGATTATAAACTATAAAAATAATATTTTGGCGATTAAAATTTCTTTATGTCTGAATGCAAAACAAATTTCAGTACCTTCGTATGATTATTTTACCAATACTGAGCTCTACGTATCTTTATATTTTTAGTTCACATGACACAAAGTGTCGCCTTCTAGTGTCGAATATGTTTAATTATATTTGAAAGCCGACGCAAAGAGATTTTTCTAGAACTAATTTAATAAATTAGGTGTAAAATTACTTACAAATTAAATGTGATGCCCTCCATAGCATCAGAGCGTCTATCTGTGTAGCCGTGTGTTTTTTTACGATAAAACACAACACTTCATCCTTTTCTTCTTAATACTACGAACAGTGGCGAAGCTAGGGCTCCAAACTAGGGCAAGCCCAAGATATGGTTTTGTTGTATTAGCTGTTTTATAAAAATAAACCAATCTCAATCTGTCTCTTCTCTTCAGTTTCATATTCAGTGCTGTCGAGGACGTGTTTAGCAAAGCACACAAAAGGCATACTACTGCCAGATAGATTGTATGACTATATGCATACCTTCGGTGGCTTTGAAAAAAGCCGTTTGGGTTTGCTTGAGCGAAAAAAAAAAAGATATTTACATACAATACAATACATGAACAAAAGGAAAGCATGAACAAAGTACAAACATTGTAGAAAATTTAAAAAACAAATTATTTATATTCTAAATCGAATCGTCTCTCTTTCATAAAGAAAGATTTAATTACGTCGGCGTGAAATGTTGGTGAACGTTTTAATTGTACCAATAACTGTTTATGTGGATATGCGCTGTTTTTTCTTTTTTTTATAGTAGAAGGGGCAAACGAGCATGCGGCTCATCTGATGGTAAGTGACTACCGCCGCCCATAAACAACTGCAACACCAGGGGAATTGCAGATGCGTTGCCGGTCTTTTAAAAAGGAGTAGGCTCTTTTTTTGAAGGTCCCTAAGTCGTATCAACAAAGTTTAAAGATTTTACCTTTTCCTCGCCGATTAGCACTTTAACACACTTCAATTCGTCACAAGGAACACTATTATCCTCCATTTTCACTAAAAATCTTTAAAAATTGATGAATTTTCAACTCCCTACCCAATATTAAATCCATACATTCGCTCAAGTAAACACACAGAGTAAACATTGAAATGTGAAGTGAAGTTGCACAGCGCTCGACTAACTTCATATCTAAAGCCAGGCAATCGCTCCATACTAATTGCTATATAAACAATCGTAGTTATATTTCATTATAGAATATTTTGACACAGGTTAGAAAGAGAGTGATCGTCTTCTCGAGAGCCCGGTAAAAAGCCAAGAGAGACGACTAATCGCTCAACTCAACTCCTTTTTTATGAAAGCAGTATCGCGCAGTAATGTAATCTGCCAAGTGTTGACGTTACATAATAAGGCTACGAGGTCATGACGTGTGTAGAAGAGAGGAGCGTACGGGAAATTTGAAATAATTTGACACAGTTTACGAGTTATTTTATTAGTTGATATTATTGATTGAGCAGTTTGGTAGGGCAAGCCGGACTTCTTGGCTTCTATGGTAGCTTCGCTACCGACTACGAAAATATACCGATTTGCGATCTTCAACACATAAGCGCACCGGGCGAATGCTGACAATAAACTTAC